TTTTTTTTTTTTTTGAATATCGTATAATGTTACACACTAAAACATCTATTAATTTTTCAACCAATGTTAGGTTTATATGGGATTTTAGCTCTTTTTGTGACATGAAATGAGTATAACTATTTTGTTTTTAATGACCCAAAATCATTTTTTTTTCTTTAGAAGTAAATGCCCAGCGGGTTCTAAACAAAAATCTTCACCACAAAACCTATTACGTGAGTCCACCACCCCTACATATTAATGGAAATCAAACAAAAATATAAGGAATAAGAGAAATAGAATAAGGTGTGGATTATCTAAAAGAATATGATTGTAATGGCAGTTTTGTAATTAAAAGGCTGTATGCTCTAGTGCTTTTGAGTGGAAACAGAATTCCCATGGTAGCGAGAATATAATGAGATTGGGAATGAAATAGAATTTATTTTTTCAATGGTTACGAGGGTTTGGATTAGTTTATGTGCATAGTAATCTTTGAGTCAACTTATGCGCACATTAATCCCCTCCCCGTTTAGTCAAAAGCAGGTCATTCATGCACAGGACTAAAGTATTTGAGGGATAAATTTTTTATGGTCTGATCTTGAAAAGTTGTCAAGATTCAAATTCACGATATCTGAGTTTACAACTCATCTTTATTACCACTTGAGCTATCCACTGAGGTTAAATAGGGTGTTTATTATTGATGATACCCAAAATATGCTTAAGATTTAGCTCGGACCTTCCCAACTCAAGACACTATGACTCAGTGCATCACGGATGACTATGGAACTTGAGGCCGATACCTCCTCCCATCAACTGCACCTCCATAAGAATAACACATAAGACAATTGACTTCCACTCAAACATCACTCGAATTATAAGGATTTTATATCTAGGCAAAGAAGTCGCAACTATCTTAGCACCCTTTGCATAATAGGCACAACCATTACAAGAAAGAGACAAGGATCACGTTGTAGATTAGGCAAGACCTTAGAACAACCATAAATAAGAGGCATATCTTTCACAAAAAAAAGACAAGCAACTAGCCTAAGTAAATACCCTGTATAATCTTCCACTTTTTATCAATAATATCATTCCAAAGAGTAAGAGACTCCCTTGAGAGTGGATTAACCAAGCTCTCAAGCTAGTGAACTACTATAAATTCTTTGTGTGCGATTTCCCATCTCCCTTGTTCAAATCTTAAAAGTCTAGGAGTTCTGACTGAGTTGTTCAATAATCCTCCAACACCTAAAAATCATATGCTCTACTCAATTGTGTTACACACACCATCAATTATCATTTTAATATTTTACAATAACTATAATTAAATATGTGAATAAAATTGAAGATTCATTTTTAATATTTGGATAAATCAATAATTTTGATGAACTCCTAGTCCCAAAAATATTTGACTTTGGGACCCTTGGTACCTAGATCTTGAGGCCTTACTTAGACCCAGAACCCCATACCTTGGAGGTGGAGAAAGAGGAGGAGGTGGTGGTGGTAGCGACAGTGGTGGTAAGTGGCGGAGCTAGTGGAGTGGTGGTCATGGATAATACCACTTTATATTAAGGAATAATTAACTTGCATAGATGGGATTATGCTTAATCAAAATGAATTTTATTACTAATAAGAAACTAATATTAGATTTACGAGTGTCAATTCGTGTAGTGTCGTGTTTTCTTTGTGTTATTAGATTCAGATCATTGTGTCAATCTAATTTGTGTTCGTGTCAATAATCATGCAAAAGAAAAAAAAAATAAAGTTTGTCATTTTAAAACCCAATGAAAGTGATGTGCAAATAGGTCAAATAATAAGAGAGTGAAATAAAATTTGCCCAAAAAACATGCATTGTGTTCCGAATGTTTAATACTAATCCAACTTAATTATTATGTATATTTATTAATTCAATTTTAGCATCATATTTTATTAGATTCGAATTCGTATTGATGATTAAAAATTTAAAATTACCACCCCTAATTAAAACAAACATTGTTTATTCTATTAGGATGCATCATTATCACCAAACAAATGCGGTAACTATAACTACATAGAGTGAGCATAGCTTGTTTTTTTTTCAAGAGTCGCATGGTCGGGCCAATTTACATACTCCTCATTAGCCTCAATAAATCCTCTCTCTCGTCTTCTTCTATTACAATGCTTAGTTGGAGGAGGAGCTTTGTATAACGGCGTCGTTTAAGACACCTTGGCCCCTCACTCGATTTGGCTTCTCAGTTCAACAAGAGGCCCTCTCATTCTCTCTCCTCTTCTTCATTTCTTCGCTCCCTCCGAGCCTTACTCGTAATTTCTACATTCCATTGTCAGTTCCAATCAAAGGGAATCGAGAGAGAGAGAGAGAGAGAGAGAGAGCGAATGGCGTTTACACTGAGGAGTGTGAAGGTTCCACCGAACTCCGTGACTCTGGAAGAGGCTCGGCATCGGACCTTCGATTTCTTCAGGTCGGCTTGCAGATCCATTCCAACAATCATGGAGATCTACAATCTAGACGACGTCGTTGCACCCTCGCATCTTCGCTCTACCATCGCCGCCGAGATTCGTAAGAACGCACACGTTAATAACCCTAAGGTACCACCCCCATCTCTCTCTCTCTCTCTCTCTCTCTCTCTCTCTCTCTTTTTCTTCCCATTTTCTAACAATTAATTTTTCCGTTATTGAATTAATCCGTTTGTTTTGTCGGAATAATATCGTAAGTACATGAAAATTTATCGGCAATTTCTGGATACCAAACAAAGGATAATGTTATGGTGAGATATGGGAGGGCCTAGCCAAAAACGAAGAAGGTAATCAACAGGAAAAAAAATTCTATGTTTGGCAATGTGTTTATAATGCTTAAAATTTGTGATGCGTTTGGAAGCTTGGAGATGTGGTCATGGAACTGGAATTGGGGAAATTTTGGTACAAACTCGGGGGAACAGATTCTTCCCAATTCCGGTTCCTTGGAAAATATTCATCCATCTAGAATTCATAGGGGACCCATTATATTCAAGTGTATCCTTCATGTTGGGTGATTGTATTGGAAAGAATTGGAGAGAGCCATGGCCTGGGCAAGTGGTGAGAGTGTTGTGTTAACAACAGAGGCTGAATTTGACTATGAGGACAACCATGAAGTGCAAAAAATGGTAAATGGTAGGATCTTTANAAGCAGGTCATTCATGCACAGAACTAAAGTATTTGAGGGATAAATTTTTTATGGTTTGATCTTGAAAAGTTGTCAAGATTCAAATTCACGATATCTGAGTTTACAACTCATCTTTATTACCACTTGAGTTATCCACTGGGGTTAAATAGGGTGTTTATTATTGATGATACCCAAAATATGCTTAAGATTTAGCTCGGGTACTCAGCTCGGACCTTCCCAACTCAAGACACTATGACTCAGTGCATCACGGATGACTATGGAACTTGAGGCCGATACCTCCTCCCATCAACTGCACCTCCATAAGAATAACACATAAGACAATTGACTTCCACTCAAACATCACTCGAATTATAAGGATTTTATATCTAGGCAAAGAAGTCGCAACTATCTTAGCACCCTTTGCATAATAGGCACAACCATTACAAGAAAGAGACAAGGATCACGTTGTAGATTAGGCAAGACCTTAGAACAACCATAAATAAGAGGCATATCTTTCACAAAAAAAAGACAAGCAACTAGCCTAAGTAAATACCCTGTATAATCTTCCACTTTTTATCAATAATATCATTCCAAAGAGTAAGAGACTCCCTTGAGAGTGGATTAACCAAGCTCTCAAGCTAGTGAACTACTATAAATTCTTTGTGTGCGATTTCCCATCTCCCTTGTTCAAATCTTAAAAGTCTAGGAGTTCTGACTGAGTTGTTCAATAATCCTCCAACACCTAAAAATCATATGCTCTACTCAATTGTGTTACACACACCATCAATTATCATTTTAATATTTTACAATAACTATAATTAAATATGTGAATAAAATTGAAGATTCATTTTTAATATTTGGATAAATCAATAATTTTGATGAACTCCTAGTCCCAAAAATATTTGACTTTGGGACCCTTGGTACCTAGATCTTGAGGCCTTACTTAGACCCAGAACCCCATACCTTGGAGGTGGAGAAAGAGGAGGAGGTGGTGGTGGTAGCGACAGTGGTGGTAAGTGGCGGAGCTAGTGGAGTGGTGGTCATGGATAATACCACTTTATATTAAGGAATAATTAACTTGCATAGATGGGATTATGCTTAATCAAAATGAATTTTATTACTAATAAGAAACTAATATTAGATTTACGAGTGTCAATTCGTGTAGTGTCGTGTTTTCTTTGTGTTATTAGATTCAGATCATTGTGTCAATCTAATTTGTGTTCGTGTCAATAATCATGCAAAAGAAAAAAAAAATAAAGTTTGTCATTTTAAAACCCAATGAAAGTGATGTGCAAATAGGTCAAATAATAAGAGAGTGAAATAAAATTTGCCCAAAAAACATGCATTGTGTTCCGAATGTTTAATACTAATCCAACTTAATTATTATGTATATTTATTAATTCAATTTTAGCATCATATTTTATTAGATTCGAATTCGTATTGATGATTAAAAATTTAAAATTACCACCCCTAATTAAAACAAACATTGTTTATTCTATTAGGATGCATCATTATCACCAAACAAATGCGGTAACTATAACTACATAGAGTGAGCATAGCTTGTTTTTTTTTCAAGAGTCGCATGGTCGGGCCAATTTACATACTCCTCATTAGCCTCAATTAATCCTCTCTCTCGTCTTCTTCTATTACAATGCTTAGTTGGAGGAGGAGCTTTGTATAACGGCGTCGTTTAAGACACCTTGGCCCCTCACTCGATTTGGCTTCTCAGTTCAACAAGAGGCCCTCTCATTCTCTCTCCTCTTCTTCATTTCTTCGCTCCTTCTGAGCCTTACTCGTAATTTCTACATTCCATTGTCAGTTCCAATCAAAGGGAATCGAGAGAGAGAGAGAGAGAGAGAGAGAGCGAATGGCGTTTACACTGAGGAGTGTGAAGGTTCCACCGAACTCCGTGACTCTGGAAGAGGCTCGGCATCGGACCTTCGATTTCTTCAGGTCGGCTTGCAGATCCATTCCAACAATCATGGAGATCTACAATCTAGACGACGTCGTTGCACCCTCGCATCTTCGCTCTACCATCGCCGCCGAGATTCGTAAGAACGCACACGTTAATAACCCTAAGGTACCACCCCCATCTCTCTCTCTCTCTCTCTCTCTCTCTCTCTCTCTCTTTTTCTTCCCATTTTCTAACAATTAATTTTTCCGTTATTGAATTAATCCGTTTGTTTTGTCGGAATAATATCGTAAGTACATGAAAATTTATCGGCAATTTCTGGATACCAAACAAAGGATAATGTTATGGTGAGATATGGGAGGGCCTAGCCAAAAACGAAGAAGGTAAT